GACTACTTGAACACGTTACAAGTGCGAAGCAAATGGAACACCAAACAGAAAGAAATAAATGTCAATGATTTGGTAATGGTAAAAGAGGACTCATTACCAGCAACAAAATGGACTTTGAGTCGAGTGATGAAAAAATATCCAGGCGCCGACGGTTTAACAAGAGTAGTGGACGTGAAAATTGGAAAAAACGTTATAAAACGAACAATAACAAAAATTTCCCCACTACCGCTCGATACAGGAGACGAAAGGGCTAAAGCAATAGCGACAACAACAAATAAAAATACCAACAATTTTTTGACATCGTTATTGGCAGTGCTCACTTTGGCAACGATGACGAATGCCCACAAATTTTCTATCATAAAAAATGATCAGACAGCAGAAAATCATCAAAACGTAAACCTATCCATAACGAATTCGGAAGATCATGCAAAGCACACAGTTGTGGTGATTTTTTTAATATGTTTTGTGATGTTTCTTCTTTACATACTGCGTATATTGTATAGAGCAGCGACAGCAAAAAAAACAATACATCCATCGATGAACGAAGCTATTCAAATGCAAAAAATCACGATACCATGTGCACCAATAGCACCAATGGATTTATCGCAAATGCAAGGAAATATGATACCTACAATAAGCCAGGCAATATCAACTCAAGCACAAGCGAAAATACCATGTGTGACGAATGCACATTTGGAACAAGTAGTAGAACAACGAGAAGCAAAACGTTTCGTACATTCAACCATGACCATGCCCAAGACGAATTATGAGGATGAAACAAAGTCGACAAAAGTAAACAACCATTTGGATACACCGCGTCCAGCAATGAGAAAACAAAATCAAATATCCAAAGAGCAAGTTGTAATTGAACACAGTGTAGAGAGACGACGATCAACATCGATTTGGCCATGGGAGAGTCTAAATAAAATGCGAGAGTTCAAATGCCCCCACTGCAGTCATATTATTGAGGCCCGGGAGGATGTTCAATAAGAACAATTAACAAAAAAGAAAAAAGAAAAAAAATAACACTTTGCACATTCAAATAATATTGTATTAAAGTCCAGTAAATTCATTCAAATTGTATTATAAAGTCCATAAACTCAAATTCATTAAAATTGCATTGTTGACAAAAGTAACGTAAAGCAAATCAAGTAAAATTTAACTCCATATATGGTAAGCCTATTGTCGATGGCACATCAATCATAAAGCATTTATAATTTCAAAAAATAAAATTTCACTTAGTTCTGTTGGATCAGTGAGCAAATTAACATGTTTTATTTGACTTCCCATGAAAACTAACTTTAATCCATTCACTGATTACTCCTGAAACTCATATTTAATGTATTGTCTAATTGACATAACAGTATCAAATACTTAACTAATGCAATTGTTTTCCTTTCTGTTCAGCTATTAGATTGAGCATTACTGGTTTATGGTGTTTATATGCCAATTAAATTGAAATAATTGCAGCGATTGAATTTTTGTTGAAGTGAGTTTGAATTGTTTGGATTGCGTTTACAATGGGACGAAAAAGAAAAGAAACTGGTCGTATTTTTGGCCCTAGGCCAAAAGTTCGCAAGGTTCTGAAAGAAGAGGTCGGACTTTTTGCAATCAAGATATCGGCGACAACAGCTATTAAAGAAGAATATCATGACACAGTGTTACCGTGGATAGAAAAAATTAGTATTGAATCCACAAAAATTTGCGAACTGGCCTCATTACTATTTTTGCAAAAGATTAGAGAAGAAAATGAGAAGGCAAAACGAACGAACGATTGGACATTTTTCGACGATGGTAATGATTAAATTGTTTTTTTTCTAAATTGTTTGTTAATTTTTTAGCATGTTATTTCTAAATTTTATAAAAAAAATGCTCATTGTTTTTTCTTAGGTGATGGCATTCACATAATTGAGGAATGTTTTTTTTGCTGTTTTCGAGACATACAAAGAAGAAGAAAGCATGGATCCGTGGTTTGTAGAAACATTCGAAGGATTGGGATGCGACAATCGATTCAAATGGCTAAACAACAATTATTTTGGCAACCATATGAAGTACATGTATCAACAGTACGCACGAAATGTCATAACCAACCTCACCACACATGATGAAAAACGTCTTAATGAGTTTTTAAGTTTGAAAGTTTGGGAATTCAACGAGGACAATGTTGATCCAGACTACGTTTTCGATGACATTGATATAAAAAATGCAGTAAATTGGGCAATCCATCAATACAATTCAACCCGTTATAATGTTGACAGATTGAACAAACGCTACCGCTTGCTGAGTTGTGCAAGAGACATTGGCGGACCATCCGACGACAACATCGCAAAAGATACAAAAGAAAATTGGTTCGCATCGTTGCCAATGTGGCTTGAGATGCAAGCAAAGATTGCTCGTTATCACAATTGGATGCAAGACAACCACGATATACTTCCTGAACACTGGGTGTTACCAAAGATCAAAAATCTTTCCGTCATTCTGATTTGCTCACACATGCGGAAATTCGTTAAAATGGATGCAGATGTTACTGGTGTGTCTAGACGCTACCCAAAATAATAGATAAAAATTCGTTCAAATTGTTTACTCGGTATGTTAGATAATCAGCACAATAGTCAAATTGAATATGAAGCCACTAATTTAATTCATACAACTTAAGTACATTACCACATCAATTTTGTTTCGTGTAATATTACTATGTTTCACTTTAATACGCAATGGAACAATATACTATTTTCATTATTATTATTATTATTATTATTTATTTGGTTTTAATGTCTACCTATAGCAGGATGACAATATAATGTTTTTCGCTTGGAAAAGAGTGGATAAATTCCCTCATTAAAAACCAAGATCTTTTCTTACAATTTTAATCTAAAGCAATACAACTGACTGTACAGTGAATTATTTAAAAAAAGTCAAAATGAGTTTCAACAAGTTCAATAAAATAAAATGAAAAAAATTAAAAAATACAACAATAGTTGTTTGTCCAAGCAAAAATTCAAGTCGAAAAATATCACAACAATGTTGATTGTAAAAAAGAAATTAACAAAAGTCAAATAAATATATATAAGTAAAAATAGAATTTAAAATAAGTCAGTCATCAAAAATAGAATATCACATTTTTAATTAAATTATATTTGATTGCAATCTGATCCAAGTGCTCCATATCGATTCATTTCATAACTTTTAAAGCTTTGTGTCAGTCTAAAGAATGGCAGCTAACGATAATCCTTCCCCCATGAGATCCAACGATTTATATGCGATATATACTATTAAACACCCGAATAGAAAAATTCAAATTAATTTAAAAGAATTGAAAATGATTTAAGAATTATAACCTGGATTGGAAGTTTCATTTTTCGATCGATAAAAAGAAACCACCAAAAACAAAAATTCTCCCAATTATTTCAGGTGTAATAAGTCGCCAAAAACTATATCTGGCAATCTCAACAATTTGTCTTTGAATTCGAAGAAAGGTAGAGTCGGGTCGATGAACATTGACGCATGATTAAATGCACGACAAGCAATATTGAATGGTGAATATAAACCATAATCAGTACTGTGGAATTGAATTTTGATGAATTCTGGATTTCTGATGGTTCTTCTGCCACTATTTATCTTAATTTGATTACGGATCATTGGGTCATTGTATTTTCCAGATATGATTTTGTGTAAAAATAATATTGCTGCATTTATTCGACGACGTATCAATGACACCAATTCAAGTTCTTTACAACGGTCAATATATGGAGCAAGTTGATAATTATTCTCATCTCTATTCAGATAATCGCCATTCAAGTAAATAACTGCTTGTTTTTGAACACTTTCAACTGCAATTCTATAACATTTGTGATGTGGCAGCCAAATTGAACTCGCAAATTCCAAGTTTGAGCGAACCAGAGACCCGTACAATAGTTTGGCACTATTTATATCGAATTTTCTCCTGCATGTTCTTTTAACAAATGACAGCATAGCCGATGATTTATTTTTTATATATTCAATGTGCTTTGTGAAGCTCAACTTGGCATCAATCACAACACCCAGATCTCTAATTTCCGTTACTCGTTCGACTGTTTTGCCATTGATAAAATAATCATGTATTATTGGATTTCTGATGTGAGTTAATGTCAGTATTTTGCACTTTGAGATATTAACTTGAAGTCCATTTTCGTCGCACCATCTAATGAATCTATCTATGGAAAGTTGTAATTCCAGAGCATCATTACTGTTTCTAATTATTTTAAGTAATTTTTTGTCATCCGCAAAGTTTAAAGCTGACACCGATTCCAGATTGCTGTCCGAATCATCAAAGAATATCAAAAATAACAGAGGTCCCAAAATGGTTCCTTGGCCAACTGACGATGGAACTTCAAAAGAATCTGATGTTACGCCATTTACTCTCACATATTGTTTACGATTCTCAAAGTATGATATGAACCAACGAAGTAAATTATTGCTAATTGGGAACTTTGCCATCTTCTGGATTAATAATGATTGATTCACGACATCGAAAGCCTTTTGTATATCTGCGTAAAATATGTCCAATTGTTTTTGTTCTTCAAATGCATTAATTGCATGAAGAGAAAGCTCCATTAAGTTAGTTTCAATATTGCGATTCGATAGAAAGCCATGTTGTGTTTTAGATAATAGAGGGGTGACTGATAATTTCAATTGTTTATGTACAATTATTTCAAACACTTTGGCCAAGTTAGCTTCGATTGTTACGCCTCTGTAGTTTTTAACGTCAGATTTTTTTCCACATTTGAATATAGGAATTGTCATACCTATCTTCCATTGATTTGGAAAAGCACAGTTTTGAATGGATTTATTAAATATCAGAAATAAGGGATATGCCAATAAATCGGCACAGTTTCGAAGGAATAATGGAGATAAACGGTCCGGACTAGCTCCTTTATTCAGGTCCATATTCAGAAGCGTATTCAGAATTGAATCATGAGATATGTTTATATTGAAACAGCCTCGATCGTTTCTTTCATTGATAAATTGATTCAGTGACGAGTCATTACCATGTTTGACATATACAGATAAATAAATTTGCCTTTTCAGTATCAGTTGAAGCGATAACATCCTCTAGTTCCAGTTTACACGAAATATTATTTGATTTTCTCCTTCCATTGACATGTCTCCAAAATAGTTTTGGGTTGTTCTTCGAGTTTCGTGCAACATCGCTGATGTACTCGTTATAACGTTGTTTTTGATATTCGTTAAATTCATTCATTGCTTTGGTAAATAATTGCGTATCAGCCTCTGGATTTTGCAAACGATTTTTGGATAATTTTTTATATTCTCTGTTTCGCACGTTCTTTAGATGAGAAAGTTTCTTGTTGAACCAAATTGGTCTATTTGAGATACGAAGAGATGAACGAGGCACATATTGATCAAACATTTCATAAATAATATCATAAAAAGCTTTAACCATATCATTAATGTCGTCATGATTTAGGACATCGTCAAATGGGACTTGTTCCAGGTAATCTCTGATACCGTCAAAATCCGCTTTTTTAAAGCAAAATTGAGGCTCATTTTGAACGTCTCGGATAAACGTCTTGGGTTGACATTCAATTGTACACACAGATTGAATATGTGCCTTATCAGAAATTTCGTCTGGTATCAATAAAATTTCTGCGTGATTCATAATTGTCAATTCTGGCATGTTAGTATAAAATAGGTCTAGTACATTGCTGCTTCTATTCTCAAAGTTACAAATTTGAGATAGTCCTATTTCTAAAAGTGTTGTGGTAACTCTCCTGGATATAATAGCTTTATTACTCATTGAGTCACCAATAATTGGTAAAAAGCTGACACCATCATCATTTTGTATCCATCTCACCTCAGGAAGATTCCAATCACCACAATACAGAACGATGTCTTTATCAGTACGGATTTTCTCAATTGACTTAATAGCTAACATGTGTTTTTCGTAGATATCTTTATCCATTGATGATGGTTGAACATATAGACAATATATATAGATAAAACAATCCGATAGTGAAATTTTGACACAAATTGATTCCAAGCCAGCCATTTCAAGTGTTGAAAATTGTTCACTATCAAATTCATTTTTAAGTGCAATCAACACACCACCTCCTTTATTATTACAAATTGACGATGCTTTTCTATCAGTTCTATATATTGAATATTTTGAACTGAAAAACTCATTTGAATTTTGTGATGGGTCTAGCCAGGTTTCAGTTAATACAATGACATCGTAAATACTCGCATTTGTTGACAGCAATAATTCATCCGATTTGTTATTAACACTTCTAATGTTATGATAGAATACATTCAAATGAATATTCGCTAGAATATTACTTTTCCGTTGAATTTTTTCTGCATTACTATCAGTTGATGTATTTATTGCCGCTGCCTGTGATACTGTGATATCAATTGGTCCGTTTGAAAATCCACCGTCGATATATCAGTAGCCGGAGAGAGAGAATTGAAATCAAATTTGCATACATTTTTCCTTACAAAAGGCACGATCTTACAAGGTGACGGCCAGAATTTTTGGTTACTTATCAAACCACCGATTCTCTCATTTGTCTCAATTTTGAAGTTGACATAGGATAAACGAGAAATATCTTGATTTTTCTTTGTTAATCTAAACGCTTTCAATTCACCTTGTCTGATATCAATTTTTGACGAAATGTATTTAATTAGTTGGTCAGATGTAACGTTTGGTTGTAATTTGGATAAATGAAATTCTTTTTTCAATGGTTGAAATTCGATGATATTATGATTATGATTTAATTCCACGTTATTCAAATATTGTTCAGTCTCTTTTCCATCTACATTCAAAAATTTCTAGTGAATTTTCCGGCTCCTTAACATCCTCTTCTTGTGAGCACGTTTCACCAGCGGTCAAGCCATTGTTTGAATCAATATCGTTCTGGATGTTTACCGACATAGTTGACTGAATATGATCCGTTGAAATTGCCGTAATGTTACCATTTATAATTTCTTGTACTGCACTTTCCATTAGAGTGTCAATTTTACGATTCATTTCGTTGCAATTCTTATCAATGACGTCACATTTGTCGTGTATATCATTAATCAAATCGATATAAATTGCGTCTGATAGAGCAGAGGCATTTGCCAACGGTGTTGTAGTGGAGTGTATGTTTGATCGATCGTTCACAATGGGATGGATGGATGATTGCAAATTTGATATAAGTTCATTGTTATCATTAATTTTTTCACGCAAGTGATCAAGCGATGCCCATGTATTACGCTCAAATCCAGCGATTAACGAATATAAATCCGAATTGTCATGATTAGGGCTCGCTAACAATGATTGATTAATATTAAGTGACCAGTCCAATAGATTTGTTTTATTTGATTTATTTAAAGGTGTTTTAAAATTGTTCGATGAGATACTTGAAGGTTTATTGTTTCCCGTAAAATGTGAATCTAATTTTGAATTCAATGACTCAATTTTGTATGCAAGATCAGATTGCAGATTATCTGTTTTAGTATTCAATTTTATACATTGTGAGTCAAGTTTAGCATGTAATTCAATAATATTCACATGTAATTTGGAGAAATGATCATCGGTAACATTGTTTGAAATCAAATTTGAAGCCGTATTCATATTACTATTTTTATTTGCACCAAAATCTGCCATATTTTTATCAAAATTATCAATTTTATCGGTAATAGTATGCAACATTTTATAAACGTTTTCCTGGAAATCATTTATTTGGTTGTTTGCACCGTCCGTGATACTATTTATGTTAGTATTTTGATTCTTAGAGAGAGAGCCAGTCTCTTTTGTCGATTTGGATGATCTGATAATGTTATTGTCATTGTTTGTCTTAGAAGAGTGATTTTGATGTGTTTGTTGTTGTTGCTGTTCTTTGAATTTACTTAATGGTTCAATACATTGTTGGCATATCAATTGAATTATTGAATTTGTTTGAAAAAACGATCTTTGTGTGACTGCATCTAAACTCAAGTTCAAACAATGAGTAAAAAAAAGCTCACCGCAACCGAAACATGTTATTTTTCTCTTATCACCTCTGCCGCTGATTCTGGAACATTTATCACGGCACCGGTGTAGTTTTCGATTCATTGCACGGTTTGTGTCTTAGCTAAAGTACTTACTTAAGTAATTACGTAATTACACTGTAAAAACGTCGGTCAGAACTGATTTATTACTGTCAAATGATAAGTTATCAGCTGTATATGTGAATGTATGTTCAATCGTCTTTTGGTCAAATACGATGATTACATCTGGTTAAAACCATAAATAACTTCAATAAATGATGATGACACTAAAAAACTCCATTTGACCACTATACATTGACAATAAAACTACCATCACACACAAAAATTTATTTAAAATTCCCAATTATTCTATTTTTAATTGTAAAAAAACTACGGACACGAAGTTATACAAGACTTCTTCTTTGACTGATACACTGTCAACATTCATACATACATTCTAAAGCATTCAATTTAACTTAAATTTATGCATCCTGGGAATAACAAATAAAACAGAAATTTTTAATATATTATCGTCAATTGTGTAATTGACCATTGCTTTCAAAAACATAACGTACAAGAGCATCTACACTTTCAGATTTTTTCAAGTCATTCAATAGTACATTTCTGTTCTTGTCGAAGCGAATTTTATTACATTATTTTTTGTAACAAATCATTTTTACTATATCAGTTCTTCATCGGATTTGTGCTCACAGAAAAATTTCCGGATATTTCGAACCCAGAAATCGGTTTAAATCACAGCGGAATGATTTCTGGGTTCAAAAGATCCGAAAATCC